CATTAATGTCCTTCCATGGAAGAAGTGCACCATTTAAAGAGGTCTATTTTGGTAAAGATGTTGTAAAATCTCTCTCACCCCTTGCTTGGTGGCAGTATTTTGACAATGATATGACAGAAAATGTAATGGATGTTCCTAGGCAATTATTTACAGCTGTTGCATCATCAACAGGGGTTTAGAGAATTTTTTCCACATAAGGATTTGTACACTCAAAGGTAAGAAATCGCCTAGGACAGGAAAAGGCATCTAAGCTTGTCACAGTACAAAAGCATTTCAATGTTCAACTAAGCTAATTTAAATGTTTTGAACTATTTTTGTTGTTTACAGAATGAGAATATTGTGTTGACTTGAAGTTACTACCGGTAATTCTTAATACCCTACACTATAATCCTACAAATGTAAAAGAAAATAAACTTGTTACCAGTATTATTTTTTTTACAAAATGAGAATATTATTCTGTTGACTTGAAGAAGTTAAGTTATTAATTTTTGAAACACTGTAATCCAATAAGAGCATTTACATTAAATTTCATTATTACGTTTGGATTTGTGCACTCAAATGTAAGATATGTTACCAGTTTTCTTTTATTTTACAAAAGAATATTATTGTGTTAAATTCCATTGGTACATCTACTGTATAAATATCTAATGCCAATTTTCTGTTTATTATCCTGAATAAGCTTTGGTTGAAAAATATTGTTTTTATGGTTTAAAAATACTATTTTGATGAGATTAATAAAAAAATAAAAAAATAAATATTTAAATAAAAAAATCTGATTTAAATCAAATAAATCGATTTTTTTTATTTTTTTTTAAAAAATCATGATTTTTTCCAACCCTGTCTCCACGCTTAATTAAAAAATTATTGAGGCCCCGTGTGCATTCAGCTGACTACATTAAAGGTAAGTGCACAGTAACACTTTATTCATTTTTCATTATTGATTACCTTTACGGTACTGTATTTCATTTTTGAATTTCTATGTATTATTTTCGCATTTTCGACTTACGGCCGTGCTACACTCTCTCGACTCGGCGCGCTGCCCTCACTTGCAGAACGTCACAGCATCCCCAAACGACGCCAAGCCAGTCTCTGTTAAGACTTCACATCATTCGTGCGAGCTAAAGTATTTTTGCTCTAAAACTGCACTCTAACCATTCGAAACGGCTTCCAAGCACCCATCAAGTGCTACTGATGCTAGTGTAGTGAATAGGCAGGGTAAGACCATTACTCTTGCTACGAAAATGGATGTATTAACCTGATTTGAAAAAGGGGAATGTGCTGTGGACATAGCCGCTGTGCTTGGTCTAACCCCCACAATGGTGCGTACTATCTGGACCAACGCTGACAAGATCAAGGTTAGTACTGGAAGTGGTTCTTCTCTGAGTGCGTTTGTCCTAGCAGACGACTCGTACTAGAAGCACTGTGGTAGAGAAGGTGGAAAAGATGCTGGCCATGTGGATGGAGGACCAGAATCAACGCAATGCCCCTGTGAGCCTTATGGTTATCCAGCATAAGGCCAGATCCTTGTTTGGCAACATAAGGCAGAAGAGGGAGAAGGATCGAAGGAAGAGACCTTTACGGCCAGCCGAGGATGGTTTCAATGATTTAAGCATTGTTATAACTTCCACAATACCACAATATTAAGATGACTGGTGAAGCTGCTAGATCAGATAAGGTTGCTGCCCAGACATTCCCACCAGAATTCAAATACATTATCCAGCAAGGAGGCTACTCACCAAAACAAGTCTTCAATGTGGATGAGACTGGTCTCTTTTGGAAGAGGATGCCTGAGAGGACCTATATCTCCAAGGAGGAAAAAGAGCGCCAGGTTTTAAAGCAGTAAAAGACCGCTTGACGCTGCTGCTTGGCGCGAACGCTGCCGGCAACTTCAAGCTTAAGCCTATGCAGATTTCTCGCACTGCCAACCCACGGGCCCTGAAAGGTTACTCTAAGGATCACCTTCCTGTCATTTACAAGGCAAACAAAAAGGCATGGATAACCGGCGCCATATTTAGCCAGTGGTTAAACGTGTACGCCGTCCCTGCACTGAAGGAATACTATGCCAAGGAGAACCTTAACTTCAAAAATCTTCTGATCTTTGACAATGCTCCAGCTCATCCTCCCAATCTCGACAACTTGCATGACAGTGTAACAGTTGTATTCCTGCCTCTCAACACGACAGCACTGATGCAGCCTATGGACCAAGGCATCATCACCGCATTCAAGGTGTATTATTTATGCCGTACCATGGCCCAGCTGCTCAAGGCTACAGATGGAGAAAATAACCAACGATCCGAGAATATTGGCGCGGCTTCAACATTCTTCATGCAATTGACAACATTGGCAAGAGGTTTCAGAAAGTTGCCTGAATGGTGTGTGGCGTACACTGTGGCCCGAGTGCATCAACAGTTTTACGGGATTCACGAATTTAGTCCCAGCTGTGAATAGGGATATCCTCAGCTTGGCTAGACAGGAAGGCTTTGATGAGCTGGAATCAGAGGATATTGAGGAAATCCTGGCATCCCATACAGAAAAGCTCACAAACGATGATCTGCAACAATTGACAGAACACAGTCCCGTTGAAGACGATGACAATTAAGAAGAACCTCAACGAACGCTAATTTCAAAGAGGTTGGCAGAATCGTTGAATAAGTTCCAGCAAGCAATGCAAATGCTTCTAGATGACGACCCAAACAGAGAACTTAGCTCAAAGGTACAACACAGAATTGAGGACAGTCTAAGTTGCTACACCGAGATCTATAAGGAGAAGAAGGTGAGAAGCACCAAGCAGTCAACACTGGATTAATTTTTTCGTCGCGGGACGGCAGAAGGAGCTTCTTCACAACAGCCGGCAGCCGAGGAGGAGGAAACAACAACGGAGGAGGAGCAACCAGCAGCAGAGGAACCCCAGTCAGAGCAGGAGGAGGAGGAGGCAGCCACAGAGTCTCAGTGACTCACCACCCCCCTCCTCTCCCACCATCCTCCTCCTTCGCTCCACTACCGACCACACACTCGCTCTACCACCTCCGCCCATTGGTGAGTACCAATACAAACTTAGTACTGTAGTTCTATGTACTATTTTCTATAAAAATGGAAATGATTTTCTGCATATGTAACTTTTTTCATGGGGCAAAGGGAGGCTCAGGAACGTAACGTAACTCCCGTATATTATTTATTTTTTATGGGGAAAATTTATCTGCTTAGCGTTGTTTCACATAATGTCGGATTTTCAGGAACATAACCCCGACGTTAAGTGAGGACGCCTTACTGTACTCACCAGCAGATCCTGCCATCTTTAGCCTCAGCCCTACAGTAAACAGACACTTCACTCAGCTGACTGTAACACATAACTGTAATCACCTCTTAACACATACAATAGAGGTTGGGTGGGAGATTATTGGTTCATGAGGCAGGAGTTGCTGACAAACAATGAATGAGAGTTGACCATTTGCGGGAGAAGGGGGGGGTCACATTTACCCACCAATGGACCCTTCCCCCTCTCCCTCCCTTCCTCACAGCATTTGATCTAAACTTCTAATTGGGTAAGAGAGATGAATTTGATACTATATATAATAATCCTGCATAAAATATCTTTGAGACGTTTCCAATATGATATCCTAAAACAATTTTTTTTTTACATGATATGATGGGGATTCCATTCATTCATAAAAAAAATAAAAATAAAAATAGAAATATAAAATAAAGAGAAATGTTGATACCGGAGTCAATAAAATCAGTTCTAATTAAGTTAGACACACCATTTTTTTTACCCCAATAATTCTGAATACTTTATCAAAAAGTTTGGCTCAATAAATATATTTTAAAAACAAAAGATCTATATGTATATGATACAGGCATGAATGGTTCTGAGTGTTACAGCAAAGACAAATGGTATTTTCCATGAATTTATATAGCACATCTCGCAGGAGCTGTATTTATTAATGCAAACACCACTCTGCTGTACACGTACAATATTGTTCATACTGTTAACAAAATAATGTATTCTACTGTACTACTATACTGTATATACTATACTCACCAACAGATCCTGTTCACTCAGCTGACTGTAATACTTAACTGTAATCACATCTTAACACTTGCGATGGAGGTTGGGTGGGAGATTAGTGGGTCATGTTATTGACCTGACCTGATGCAATATCAGGTCACCCAATGTAGGGGTGGTGGATTAGTGGGACTTCTGACCTGAAGATGTCTTGAATAAAGATGAAAGATAAAGTGCTCCAGTGTTTCCCACTTACTGATGTACAGCATAGTATACGTAACTGTAATCACTTTTTATGTTATTAACGCTGCTTTAACACTGTATTCTTGGCTGATTAATTTTCTGGTACAATAATGTACAGAACTGCACAACACAAATTGTACACAAAACAACAGCTAGCGATGGAACAACCTTCTACAATGGCAGCAGTGATCCAAACAGCGAGGCCACCCATTCACCCATGCTCTGAAAATTTATTCCCAGACCCAGAAATATTTTTTTTTCGATTTTCCAGATTTTTCCTTAGAATGTTCAGAAAATGCACCCGGAATTGAGAATTTTTCCGTAAAAATTCTTAGCAAATTTCAATTCCAATTATTGGAGAGTTCCGGTGAAAAGGGATTCTGGCTAATGGAGATATTACTTACCAAACAAAAGGTTAGTACGTGTCGGACAAATTTTTGGAATTAATTTTATACCATCTCTCCATACCTAACTGGCTGCTCACCAATTACTTTGGTATATGGAGGCAATACTGAAATCATTGAGTACACAACAAATATTCATTAAAAACATGGTTTGAAGCAATTAAAAATGTTTTGGGAAAGTTTTTTCCTTAACAACATATCTCAAATTTTATAACTGAAAGTCTATGGGAAAATATTCTTCGATTTACAAAAGGTTTTTCAGGAACACAACCCTCCCTTTCACAGATCTGGGTGTGCCTGTAGTAAAATAGGATTCATTCATTAAAAATTATGTAAACAATATTTTTTACCATTTTTCAAATCCACACCAGTCAATTTTGTTCCTCCAATTAGTGTCAGAGATGAAAATCCATGTGCATTTGCAAGAGGTTTCAAGACGAGTGCTATTTGCTGTGCCAATTCTCTTGTAGGGGTGATTATAAGTGCTCCAACACCTGTTATGGAATATATCAAAGCACCAATTATAAAAAGTATAGTACAGTACAGTATATGGATATGAATACAGTACGGTATGTAGGTAACATGTAATCCATATTTGGTATATCACATTTACACTATAAGGATTCTAGAGCAAGTCTCACTCACCATGTGACTTTTTGAATCCCATGGCTCTTAATCTCTCTATGGTGGGTATCAAAAATGCTAATGTTTTACCAGACCCTGTACGGGCATGAAGGAAAGTATTGGATTTGGCCAATAACTGTGGAAAAGCATGTAGCTGGATAGTGGTGAGTTGTTTGTATCCTAAATTAGTTAAGGCAGTCACTGTTGCTGGTGAGCACAAACCCTTATCTTGAACCCATTCCAAGGTGCAACTTGTGAGTATGCTAGTCCCAGCCATTTCTGCAAATAAAAACAATGTAAATTAATACCTATAGCATTTTCAAGGAGATACTGTGAGCTGTAGTATAATATTTTAAACATCTACAGCATGACTGCAAAAATATATTAGTTAATTGTGACTGACACAGTTTTAGGTTGGTAAAAAGATTGTGTTTAATCACTTGCTATAAATAATAAAAAGGAAAACATTAATTGGAGCACACACCATCACCCTGCAGTGCTTCACATTTAATGGTAAATGTAGAAATTCTCTAATAAGCAAATTATGAGCTAGTTACTGCATCATATTAAAACGACCACATACAGTACTGTGCAGTACTCTACTTGCATGTAAAACATTTTCTCTGTGCATTAAATGATATTAGCCCTCTTGAACACACAATAAGTCTTATAAGAAGGTAGTTCAGATATCTAGACGGTCCGTCCCTCGTAACGATCTTCAGGAGTGAAGTGCTTCCCCGTCTGGAGTACTGTCACCCCATCTGGTCCCCGAGATATGCTAGGGACTGTCAGTTGGTTGAAAATGTTCAAAGGAGGGCCACCAGACTGGTGCCTGCACTTCGGCACCTCAGCTACCCTGAGAGATTGGAGCGCCTGAACTTGCCTAGCTTATACTACGGACGGGCAAGGGGGGACCTAGTTGAGGTGTATAAGCATCTCAGGGGGCACTACTCAGTTGAGTGTCCTTACTTGGAGCTGGCGGACGCTCGCCCCACAAGGGGGTCACAGCTCAAGATTGAAGAAGCCGCAAGTCCAAAAAACCGTGAGGGCAAACTTTTCGGAGTGAGGGTTGTAAACTCTTGGAACAATCTACCAGAGAGTGTTGTGACGGCACCGAGTGTGAGCTCTTTCAAGAGAAGACTTGACCAACACTGGAGCGGGTTCAGGTGCATTCAGGAGCCGGTGCATGCCCAGTATTTGCCAACAGTGCATGACAGAGACGTGACCGATCGCCCGGGCGGCTAGCGAGCCGATCTTTTGGTGAAGAATATAAATGAAGAGACGTGACCGATCGCCCAAGCGGCTAACAAGCCGATCAGTGGCGAAGAGGATAAAAGTGAAAGTAAGTTTATGTGACCACAGCAAAAGTTATGTGGAACCACCCACGTGAGGTCAGTTCATCTTCATTCTGCAGCCAATTGATCGCAGAAGAAATTTTTTTGGCTCGAGAATAAAACTAGTTTTTCACTAAAAAAATAAATAAATAAAATTAAATAACTTCCTGTATTTGTGATCCCAACATCATATCTCAGATAGAGTGTATTTTCTCACAAACCTACCAAGACATTATCATAGGTATAGAAGTGGAATTGTATAAGCTTTCCAGTGGTGGCTTTGGAATTTTTATATGACTAATTGTGGGGAGGGTGAGAGGAAATAAAGAGACAAATGTGACCTACCAGCACTGCTGAAGGGGAAGACACTGATGGACAGCAGAACTCCACCCATACTTTGGTACAGTGATATCTCCTTTAGCCGCAACAATTGGTGTAGAGCACTTACGGGAATGAGAGATTTCCGGGTAATGAGACGGCTCTCTCATAGTCGGAAAAATAATCCTGATCCCCGGAATTTTCCAAGTAACGGAAAAATGTTCTCGGAAGTTCCAGAAATTTTCGGGAAATGGAAAAATTTTCCTGGAATTTCCATAAAATGTGCCTGATTATCATCTTTCAAACCCGGAAAAAAATCACCCATCCCCGGAATTTTCCAGGTACTGGGAAATTTTTTCAGAATTTTCCAGAAAATGTACCTCTTGGAAAATCATTCCCAAAGCCGGAATTTTCCGAAAAATACACCAAAAAACACTAGAAAAACACTTAAACCTAACCTAACCTGACCTAACTTACTGTCCCCATATGATGGAATCACTTATTTCTTACCTTATTGGCCTGGTTCATGCCAACTAAGTTGATCTTGATATTTACACTCGTTCTTACACTTAGGACACATTACTGAGGTCGGGATAACACCATGAGATCTAAAAAATGCTATAGCTTGTCCGTTTTTGGGGGTGAATTTTCGATCTTGCATCGGTATTTCTCTTGCTGTTATTAATATTTTTTTAGTACGTAATGTTTAGACAATTCTAAGACCTTTTTCTTCTGTGATATTTCCGTCGGATATTAAGGATAACCGAGATATTAATTTTTCAATATTATTGGATTTGGTCAGTCACAAGTGTCGCCATTTGTTGTTTACGTCTCACAGAGGAGGTTTGATCACCCATCACCCAATGCTCCTTACCTTCGTGTTGGCTTCTTAAGCGTCTACAGCACATGTGCAGGGGGTGGTGTTTCTTACTGGCTATAGCGATAGAAGACTTATAATTGGGCAAGAGTTTTTTGTCATAGCCAATAAACAATGCGTGGGTGTGTTGGGAGCGGAGATTTGATTTTTCAGTACCAGAATAACCAGATACTGTATGGCTGAACAGGTGGAAAGAAAGAAAGCGGTCCGACTAATTACCCAAATGTACCCAAATATAGCCGCAATGAAGTCAAATAATGGTCCTACATGAGCAAATCGGACTGCTAATCACTTCTCGACTAGTATTTGGTGTCAGAAAGTCACAAAAAATTGGAAAACTTACTTTAATCTGAGTTAATAGATAGCGTGCATGTACCGACGGAGCGAGGAATTACCCAAATGTACCCAAATGTAGCCAAATGTAGCCGCAATGAAGTCAAATGATGGTCGTACAAGAGTAATTCGGGCTGCGAATCACTTCTCGATTATTATTTGGTGTCATAAAGTCAAAGAAAATTGGTAAACTTAATTTAATCTGAGTTATGTTGTGTCAGGTTAGGTTAGATTAGATTAGGTTAGGTTAGGTACATGCACTTAATCTATTAACTCAGATTAAATAAAGTTTACCAATTTTTTGTGACTTCGTGACACCAAATACTTGTCGAGGTTAGGTTAGGTACATGCACTCGATCTATTAACTCAGATTAAATTAAGTTTACCAATTTTTTGTGACTGTGACACCAAATACTAGTCGAGAAGTGATTGACAGTCCGATTTATTCATCTAGGACCATTATTTGACTTCATTGCGACTACATTTGGGTACATTTGGGTAATTAGTCGGACCCGGTGGAAAGAGCTGTGCCGACATTGTGATAGAGATTATTTTACGTTAACTGCAGAGTTTTATCAGAAAAATAGTGTTGGGTTAGATTTGGTTTTGTTGGTTTGTTGTTTTTTTATTATGTGATTTACTAAAAAAAATATACATTTTCGTTAAGATTGATGGGTAGGGTGGGGGGGAATCTCAAAAACTATTGATTTCTAGCTGAATTGAATATCAAATTCGTTCGAAACTCATCAAATAACACCAGAAAAACTGAAGTGACACCCATTGCAGACTTCCATGGTAGGAAATGAATTTGAATTTCGATATACGAGACCCAAAATTACAATCGAATCTCATTGGGCAAAAATACCACAAATTAAGCCACAATTCATTTTAATTGGTGACAAAAAAAATAAAAACTTTTGATTGACCGCACGACGTGTACGGGAATGCATGATCATGACGATTTATGAAGGAAACACACTAAGTGGGAGGTTGGGTAGGTGATAATGGCAGAAGACTAATAGAAGAAAATAGAGAAAGATTTGGCATGCGTTCTCTCCGTTGTTATACGTTTGAGACGGTAATGTAATAGAAGAAAATTATCTTAAAATTAGACGTTTTTTCGAATATGATAATATATTTAGGGTAGGAAAGTTGTGTGCACCATTACAAAAATACCAGTCCTATATATTAACTACCTAACCTGGCGTAACTTAACACCTGTCATGGGCGAACTTACTGTTACTGAGACGGATGGGAAGCAGCTGTCAAGTCCTCCAAATTAGCCCTGATTAAAAATAACTAATCTAAAGCACTTGCCTTTCGTCTCATAGCTTCAGGCTTTATTTCTGCAGTTACCTTTAAAAAAAAAACATTAAAAATGTTGGTAAGAATACTAACTCGTCAGTTCTCAGGTGTGGTGCCAACACAATACCAGTATAAACAAACACAAACTGTTGCCAACTCTGAGTTATTACAAGTCGCTATAACTCACAAATTTCCGCTAATATTTTTGGTCCTTAAATCTTTTCATATATACAGATAATACAGTACATTCATTAGCAAATCCACTTATCGTATAGAAGGAAAAAGACGCCCATATTGTTGGATGTGTAGCAATAGGGCAGATGATGGACTGCTTATTCAGTTACTTAGTATAGAAAATGCAAGACATCAAAATAAATACATGTAGAGACAAAAGCAATATCATAATATATAAAATGAAAGACCATCCTAGCAATATTAAGGGGACAGCGTTTTACAGCTATGCAAAGGCAAAATTAAAAACGCGAGTAGGAGAATCAGACCTGAGGCTTGAAGATGGTAGTTAAGCATATGACCAGCATAAAACTGAGGCATTGAACAGCTTATTTTCCTCGGTGTTCACAAGAGAGAATGCAATTAACCTTCCTGCGTTTGAGGTCAGACGGTTCGACACAGCACTGACCCACATTGTGTTCATAGAAGGGGGTATTAGAAATAAACTGTCAAAGCTAAAGGTCCATAAGAGTCCCGGCCCTGACATGGTGCATCCTAGAGTGCTAAGAGAGTTATGCAACGAACTTGCCGAGTCCCTGAAGATCCTGTTTGTAAATGCCTGGATGAACAAAAGGTCCCCAGTAAATGGAAAGTGGCACGTGTGAGTCCTATCTTCAAGAAGGGCGATCGTCACTCCACGAACAACTATACACCGGTGAGCCTGACCAGCATAATATGTAAAGTACTTGAGAGTATTATCAGAGATGCTGCGATGGAACATCTACTACGAAACAACCTTGTAAAGGATTGCCAACACGATTTTATGCTCCTGCTTAACACAATTGCTCAAGGATTGGATATTTGGACCCATATTCTGGAACGGGGTGCTAATATCGACAATATATACCTAGATTTTGCCAAGGCTTTCGACAGTGTACCCCACCAAAGGCTGAAAATCAAACTGGAAGGGTACGGAATTCGGGGAAATGTCCTGGCGTGGATAAAAGACTTTCTACATGACCGCAAGCAGTGTGTGGTGATTAATGGTACGAAATCGTCATCCTTACCTGTCACAATTGGGGTACCACAGGGCAGTGTATTGGGCCCGCTGTTGTTTGTTTGTTTCATAAATGACATGCCTGACGTTGTACACTCCTCCATACAAATGTTTGCCGATAGCGTCAAGTTATTTCGGGAAATCAAGAACCAAGCGGACTGTGAAGAACTGCAGAAGGATCTCTGTGAGCTCCAAGAATGGTCGAAGAAATGGCTGCTGAGATTCAATGTCACGAAGTGTAAGAGGATGCACCTGGGGCGTACCAACGGTAAGGAGGCGTATATGTCCCAACGGGATGAAGAAACTGCACTATTTGAGACTGCATGTGAGAAGGATCTAGGTGTGTATGTTGACAATGAACTGAAGTTCTCGGGCCATTGCGAGAAGGAGGTAAATCAGGCAAATAAATTATTGGGTCTGATAAGAAAGTCGTTCAGATATCTAGACGGTCCGTCTCTCGTAACGATCTTCAGGAGTGAAGTGCTTCCTCATCTGGAGTCCTGTCACTCCACCTGGTCCCCGAGATATGCTAGGGACTGTCAGTTGGTTGCAGATGTTCAAAGGAGGGCCACCAGACTGGTGCCTGTGTAATGACCACGGTCGTACACGTCAGTTAACGTAAAATCAGACGATTCATATTACGCTCAATAGCCCACAAAACATGTAGCTATGATTTCTTTATTTGAGTCCCCCGTCCGAGCAGTCCGTTTTCTCATCTATTCAGGACGCCTGAGTTCTTCGTTTTCTTTCAATCTTAGAATGCACCCGAGACTTTGTTATTCCTTAGTATAACGACACAGAATTTGAAATTGCAACTGTGGTTGCATATGTTGAGGCAACTTAGATATATCTGATTGCAGTTATAACATTCAAGAGCCATTGAGAGTGATGTTGAAAGCTTCAACTGTCTTTATTGTTGGTAAAACTTGCCAAGTGAGTGAGTGAGTGTCAAGTCTGTCAGTACGAGTGGCATATCCTTATATTGTCCTTGGGGATAGCCATGAGTTTCCAAGTGCTACTGAAGTTAGATTATTTTGATGCCCAAACATCAGAGAATCTGATGTTTGTAGTTTAGTTAGTGTCAGTTGTCTATTTAAGAAATTCATTAATCTCCTGAAAAGTTTCTGTCAAACTCAAAATCTCCAAGACCAAACCTTTTTTCCTTTTATCCTCTTCGCCACTGATCGGCTTGTTAGCCGCTTGGGCGATCGGTCACGTCTCTTTTCATTTATATTCTTCACCAAAAGATCGGCTCGCTAGCCGCCCGGGCGATCGGTCACGTCTCTGTCACGCACTGTTGGCAAATACTGGGCATGCACCGGCTCCTGAATGTACCTGAACCCGCTCCAGTGTTGGTCAAGTCTTCTCTTGAAAGAGCTCACACTCGGTGCCGTCACAACACTCTCTGGTAGATTGTTCCAAGAGTTTACAACCCTCACTCCGAAAAAGTTTGCCCTCACGGTTTTCTGGACTTGCGGCTTCCTCAATCTTGAGCTGTGACCCCTTGTGGGGCGAGCGTCCGCCAGCTCCAAGTAAGGACACTCAACTGAGTAGTGCCCCCTGAGATGCTTATACACCTCAACTAGGTCTTCCCTTGCCCGTCTGTAGTATAAGCTTGGCAAGTTCAGGCGCTCCAATCTCTCAGGGTAGCTGAGGTGCCGAAGTGCAGGCACCAGTCTGGTGGCCCTCCTTTGAACATTTTCAACCAACTGACAGTCCCTAGCATATCACGGGGACCAGATGGGGTGACATTACTCCAAATGGGGAAGCACTTCACTCCTGAAGATCATTACAAGGGACGGACCGTCTAGATATCTGAACGACCTTCTTATAAGACCCAATAATTTATTTGCTTGATTTACCTTCTTCTCACAATGGCCCGAGAACTTCAGCTCATTGTTAACATACACACCTAGGTCCTTCTCACACACAGTCTCAACTAGTGCAGTTTCTTCATCCCGTTGGGACATATGATACGCCTCCTTACCGTTGGTACGCCCCAGGTGCATCCTCTTACACTTCGTTACATTAAATCTCAGCAGCCATTTCTTCGACCATTCTTGGAGCCCACAGAGGTCCTTCTGCAGCTCTTCACAGTCCGCTTGGTTCTTAATTTCTCGAAATAACTTGGCGTCATCGGCAAACATTTGTATGGAGGAGTGTACAACGTCAGGTATGTCGTTTATGAAACAAACAAACAAAAGCGGGCCCAATACACTGCCCTGTGGTACCCCACTTGTGACAGGTAAGGATGACGATTTCGCGCCTTTAATCACCACACACTGCTTGCGGTCATGTAGAAAGTCTTCTATCCATGCAAGGACATTTCCCTGAATTCCGTACCCTTCCAGTTTGTTTTTCAGCCTTTCATGGGGTACACTGTCGAAAGCCTCGGCAAAATCTAGGTAAATATTGTCGATATTACCACCCTGTTCCAGAATATGGGTCCAAATATCCAATACCTTGAGCATTGTGTTAAGCAGGAGCGCCCCGGCATAAAACCGTGTTGGCAATCTTTTACAAGGTTGTTTCGTATTGGATGTCTCCAAAACTATTACATTGTTCCTGCACTGGAGACGTTCCTGGTGTTCCTCCTCTCCCCTAACAGTAGGTCCGTTAATTTTCATTTCTTCGACACACTTCTTCAAAGTCCCAAGCTGTTGTAGAACCTGTACTGATCCTGCATTACTCTCCGCCCCCTCCTGTGGCCCTCCTAATACGTCAGCATAACTCCTCTTAGCAATCACCTCCATTCTATCGGTTACTTCCTCAGTCTTAGCAAGGATCTCTTTCCCAACTTGCTCCAGTTTGTCAACCAGCAGGGCTCCAGCTTCATCTATTTTCGTCCCTAGAGAACTCGTTCCCTTATGGCTTGCAATCGCTTCATTCACCTTGACTATGCAGCCAGGACAATACCAGCAACAGCCATCATGCTTTACGGCAGTTAGTAACTTCCTAAACGTTGCATTAGTCAGGCCTATATCCTCCATATGCGACGTCTCCCTGCAGTAATCACATATCAAACTCATGGTTGTTGTTGTTGTGGGGGTGGGGGGGAAGGGGGTGCAGACTGTGTATAGATCTACACCTATTTAAAAAAGTAAAGAGAGAAAAAGAACAGTACTTAGCTACTCTCTGTTGCCTATAGAGTTGCCGTCTGCGACTGCGTACACTGTATCTCCCTGTGAATGGTGTATTGTTGGCACAGTTTCAGTCCTTGAGAAAGCACACAAACAAAATAGAATGTAAAATCTCTGTGGCACCCATGACACGACTTGGTTTCAGCTGGCACGGTGCCTTTCCAGCTTGCTTGCTAGTTAGCGCTCACTTTAAGTTAATTACAACTTCTGCGGTCACTGATGATACTATGAACTATCACTGTGTACACTGTATCTCCCTGTGAGTGGTGTATTATAAACACAGTTTCAGTCCTTGAGCAAGCACACAAAATAAAATTTAAAATCTCTGTGGCACCTATGACACGAATTGACTGGCAGTTGTCCTTACCAGCTTGATTGCCAATATGTATTCACTTTAAGTTATTGATAGTCTCTTCTGCGGTCACTGATGACACTAGGAACTGGTTTACCTAAAATCACAGTGTGTACAACACTCCCTGGTTGGCCTTTATCACAGGCATGACCACAACTCCTTAAAAAAAAATTAAATAAAAGCTTTGTCATGTGGCAGTGATTTTGTGGTTATAGGCCTCTGACCTTGGCTGTACCTCCAACTCGGTGGAAATTGAGTTTTCAATAGAAAATCTATGGGCGCATTTGGTTGTTGAATGGGATGTTGAGGAGAAAACGAGGGAGGCAGTGTG